TAAATAAATACGAATGGTTTTCCGCGCAACCAATCATTTTAAATAAAAATATCAAATAATTATTGTGCTATTAAATAGCGCGCGGGCCGTCCAAACAGTCCTGCCAGTCCAGTCGTCCGCAGCGCGACATAGATAGCACCCAATAGCACCCGTGTACAACTTTACGCACGCCCGCTGTTGTCGTATAAACATAACAATATATTAAAAAATATTGATGACCGTGGTATGCCATTGAGAGGTAGTGAAAAATTAGGCATCCACACCGGTTTGGATGCCTTCCTTAGCCCTAGTAGTATCCACTCAAACAGTGAGGTAGTAGCAAGTAATGAACATGTAAATATAGGTACAAAGAAATAGGTTCTTACATATGAAATTGGGGTTTTGTACAGGAGGAATATAAAGTCAATATTTTTTTGTAAAATATATTTATTTAATCAAAGTATACACCGTTATCTTTTCACTTTTGCCATCTCGTAGGTAGTTCATTGATCCCTTTACTAAAAAAACAAACTCATCAAACTCTTTGTTCTGTTTTGTCTGAGTTGAATTTTTTTCTTGTGAGAAGTTGTCCGAATTCCGGCAAAATGGTAATCTGTGGGAGCAAGGTCCGGGAAGTACAGTGGATGTCGCAGACATTCCAATTGTAGCTCATCTAATTTAGTGGTTGTTTGTTGTGCAGTGTGTGGTCTTGCGTTGTCGTGAAGCAGCAATGGCATAGAGCGATTGACCAATCACGGTTGTTTGGCAGCTAGTTCTTACTTCATGGTTTGCAGTTGTTGACAATAGATATTTGCCGATTACGGCAGATACGTTTACGTTTGGCCAGATTTTAGAAAGCTGTAGTGAACGACACCGGCGCTAGTCCACCAAAAACACTCACAAGTAATTTTCTGAGTCAATTTTCGTTTAGGGCGGGATTTGGCTGGGTTTCCAGGGTTCAGCCATTGTGACGAGCGCTTCCAATTACCGTACAGTATCCACTTTTTATCACAAGTAATGATTCGATTTAAAATCCCTTCATTTTTGTGTCGGTTGAGCAAAGTAACACAGCAGTCGACGCGTGTTTGCAAGTTCGATTCACTCAATTCATGAGGTACCCATCGTTCAAGTTTTTTTTACTTTCTCGATTTGCTTCAAGTGGATTAATACAGTTTTATCACTTACCCCGAAGCCTGCAGCTATCTCTGAAGCGCTTTGTGATGGATCTGCTTCCACAATAGCCTTTAATTCTTCATTTTCCACTTTGGTCTCCGGCCGTCCATGGGGTTGGGAGGTCGAAATTTCCAGAACGAAAACGTAGAAACCAAAACCGTACCGTGCTTTCTTTTACGATACCAGCGCCGTACATATCATTAATCCTTCGAGCTGTTTCTGCAGCACTGGTGCCACGGTAGAACTCGTACTCGTAAATATACCGATATTTCATGTTTTCCATTGTGCGGTAATAAGCGACGCAACGTAAAAAATAATGAGGAAAAAACAAATGAATGCCTGTTTTCAAAACTCAAATGTACCAGCTAAATGAATTTATAAATTTAAATTTGGAATTCTTAACCAGAGGAGATATTTCAGATCAGTGTTTAGTACGACAAAACGCTAATTTCATAATATGTAAGGACCCAATATTTACAGATGACCAAGGAAAAGCACTGAAAGAATATAGAAAGGAATTGCATTAAAATTTTCTGGATTATCCAATAAAGATGTCCGCAGCCTTGTTTATCAAATGGCAACTGTGAATAATATAAATACTCGCGATAGTAGGAAACGTGAGAAAATAGCAGACCTTGAATGGCTTCGGTCATTAAGATCCTAGGTAGACTGGAAGAGAATGCCATAAGGCCAAAGCCGCCTGTTGTAATCCTTTTATTAAGGTGCACAATAAAGTGTAAATAAATAAATAAGATCAAGGAATCTGGATTTATCATTTCGAAAACCACAAGACTGCAGCCCTGCTCGTGCCACCGCTTTTAATAAAGAATGGGTGGTGGTGGAGATGAAGTGACGACCAGGTATGACATGCAGGAAGTCGATGGATGCAGGTGGCTCAGGACAGTGCTTTGTGGCATTCCTTGGGGGAGGCAGTGTTTAGTGATAATTTTGTTGATTTTATAACTATTTAATAGATTAATATTTAAGTTTCTTTTACATTAATAAAACTCACTCGAAATAAAAATAAAATGGTCTGTTCTGATTGATTATGATTAAAATAAACTAATAAAACAAAGGTTACAAACAAGGAGCACTTTTATTAGTGTAATTACCAAATTCATTGTAAAAAGTACAAAATAGTAAGTACATCGGACGTGTACACACTTATGTAAACAATGCATCATTTCCTATTATTTTAAAAACCTTAGTTATAGAGTATCTATAAATATTTAAAAAAAGTAATAATGCCAGTCTATATTCTAATATAGTTTACTATCTTCGCCTAAAAAGTTACATCTAATATCGTAAAAAACAGCGGAGTTATTAAGTTTTAAAATTTTACGTGGCTCATTGTTGAACAGTGTGTTCGCAGAGAAGCCTAATAAGTACAGGAATAATTTCGGTCAGCAGAACATGTGGGGTGGACATGTCGGTCCACATATTTTGTTTGCTTATCTGTTTCGGCTTTAAAACGGTAAACGCGAGTAACCCGGGTTTTATCACCACCCACTCCAATGAAATTGTTCGTTGCTATTATGAATTATGAGGGCTGATTTACTACGTACTCGGTGGTAAAGGGAAACATCGTGAGAAAACCTGCATATCTGAGAAATTTAACTTAAAAAAATCTAAGACATGTGAAGTTCGCAAGCAACACGCAGTGGGGCACCGCGACGGACATTTCCTTGCCTTAAAACCCCCACGCCCAGTAGTGGGACGTGTGACAGTAACGGTGTCTACCACTTCCATTGAGAAACAATTAATTTGAACCGAGTAGTATTGTAAAGATTTTGAGAAGAGTGGGTAAAGAATATTTATTAAAAGTAAGAGTGACACTAGTAAATGTTAAAAAAAAATCTAAATCTATGGCTAACTAAAATATGGAGCAATCGCGTAAATATAAGAAATTGTTATGTAATTGATATGGTTAAACCGCGATATATCGCAAGTCATTGGGTGCGTTTGGCAGAAAAAAGCGCTAGCAAGCGCTTGTAAGCAAAATGGCGATCGTAAGCGGTAAGCGCTGTCAAATCGTAAGTAGCTATTTTCCTCTAGGACACGAAGTCAGTTTTAACCGGGGAACCTAACCTAATTTAAATATATGTTTGTAAAATATTCATATTAAAAACTTACCAATCATGAATTTTTAATAACATCTATATGTCTATTCATGTCATTATATTACTTAAAACTAATATTGCACAAAAAAACTTATAAACTCTTCTTAAAAACAAACAAATTAAATAAGCAAAATGGCGGATTGTGTCAGCGCTACTGAAGTAGCAATTGTGTCCTGGCCGAAAACTATTTCAGCGCTTGTAAGCGCTTGCTAGCGCTTTTTTCTGCCAAACGAACCCATTAGATTTTTCTAGCGTTTCCCATAGTCGCCTCTTACTAAACTCGCGGGAGGTAACGGGATGAAGGATTCATTTCCCACGCCGCTACACGACAAACGAATCATTTAAGTTTGCAATGCAAGACACCCTATGTTATGTTGATCTCTTCCTTAGTTTCTTGTTCATGTTTCCTTAGTGCATATCTCTACGTTACTTTGTTTTATTTGAAATGTAACATTGAATTGCGGCACCCTCGGTGTTTAAGTCATCCTTGCACTTGATCGGTTTTATGATGGAATTAGGTACTCCTTATAAGCATAAAATATTCATACTATTACTGTAGGAGTTCGAACAGTAGTGTAGTATATAAATTATAATCAATAGGGCAAAATGTAATAAATCATAATAACAAATTATTAACAAACATTCGCCACAGCTAGTAGGTATAACAAAATCCTTCAATTATCGTCGGACAAAAACAAAGAATAGCGGAAAATTCCAAGATATGTTACATTAATTAAAATGCAGTTGAACATAATTTTCTTTATGTAAGAGACGCGGTACTGATTTTTTTTATTTTAACATTGACACAGCTGTTGTAGTTCTAAGGAGACGATTTTTCAAGAATCAGCTATTTACGAATATGTCTGTTGTCTGTACTGAAACTTTACTGTAATCACTGATTTTAGCTTTAGTTATTTATATGAAAGATTCATAACATGAAACACACACAAACGACACAATAACTATAAACATATCGACTCAAATTTCACGATTTCCTTGAATAAAGTTATAATTAAATAGTATTAAACACATTGTACCTCCATAGAATACTATAATACATACATAATAGAACGATGGATTGGCGGAGCCCGTGTAGCCACTGACATGCCAATTCACATCTATAAATGTCAACACAATCAATCGTTTTCGATTTTAGTGTCAAGCGTCGCTGCATGCAAATTATTTAAAAAATGGCAAGTTATGCAATAATTACGAGTCGAAAAAACAGCGGGAAATGCAATTTAAATAAAGGAGACATATCCTAGAACCAGTAAGTCGAAACTATTTATATTTTGTGAATATTAGAAACAAAAATAAAGAAAAATTTGAGTAAAATCAGTCTTGTCAACACAGCGAATCGGGTTTGTACTATTGATAATACGACGTAAGTCGGTTTGTTTACTCACGTGACCGATCCTAGTACAAAATAAGGATGACAGCCATTCTATTGTGTATTATAGTATTCTATGGGTCCCTCCTTAACCTCACCTCAATAACACATAAAAGTACCTATTTTACTTTATGAATAAAAAACGCACGCAGTGCTTAAAAATAACGCGAAAATTGAAACGGTTGGATTGTATTTAACAAGTTATAAAAATAATTTACTTATATTATTAATGTGCGTAATCAAATTAGTAAATGATCAAAGCAAAATTAATTTTTATTTTAAAACTATTCGAAAAAACTTGTGAGTTCGTATTCATATAAAAGGTAGTGTAATAACTTTTAACCATTGTTGTGATTAACAATACGCAAGTCCTTAAAGAGATACAAGGATTTAAAGTTTTTGGAACTGCTTGGATTTTGCAAGGGACCTTTAGTTTTCTCTTGACGTTTGGTGCCCCAAATATCAATAACTGTGCGGATATCTTCGTTGGTCGCAGCATGCAACACAATAAGAATGGACGAACTGCCTATTCCACCTTGCTTTATCGATGCACTCGCGCCACATGATTTTATTGCAACGTTATCAACGTGAACATATTTAATGACGTAGCCTGGGAAATAATTTTCGTATACGTAAACTTGGCCCTCCCGCGTTGATACTGGACTGTTTTCAACAACTGCCGAGTCCAGATGCATTAAATAGTGACCCCATTTGCCAATTTCCAGCGGCGCCTTTGACTTTTCACAAAACATTCTCGCCTTTCCTCGTACCATTATGAGAAGAAAACAAAGCGCAATTCGATGCATTTGTTACTTGGTTAACTACGATACTACAATAGAAAATCTCTAGCGCTGCAACAGGTGCGTGACAATTTTTTTTCCATGCCCATTGTTCGTGGTACAATGATATCGATTTACGAAGAAAATGGTGATGTATTTTTCGTTGAAATCGTTCCATCAATACACCGCTCACTTGCTCATTTTAATTGTTTGTTACCGTCAGGAGGTTGGTGAAATAAAACAAACATGTTAACGTCACATTTTATTGTCAAGAAATAATCCATGAGCGGCCCAATAAAATAAATTTTATTTATTTTTAAATTTTTTAGTAAATAATACATCTAAATAAATCTAGTTTAGGATTCGAAAATGTTACAATGCTTTTTTTCGTTACACATCCCAATCGACTCACAATTGTAAGATTTAATAGTCTTTCAAAAATCTTTGGTGTACAAGTTTATTTATGTAAATCGCCGGGTGTCAGGATTTCAAGAAACAGAATTAAAAATTGTTGCTAACATATTGACAATAGTACAAATAATATCACGTTAATATCTATACCATACATAAACTTTTAACTACTCTAAACCACTTTACAATATAAGTATTTAAAAAAAATTGGTCAAATGTGCACTGAGTACACCTTTTTTAAAGATTTCTTTTCTTGATTAGAGTTCCGTAAGACATCAAAATAAAATTTCGAGATTCATAATAACTATATTTTTAACTTCGTTGATAATGAACTTTTTCTAATATGCGTCACAATAGTTATAACGGCTTTCTAACTATTATCAAATTTCATTAATAAGTTATTTAAAATAAATTTCATTATTAAGTCTTAAGAAATTATCAAACATAAACCAATTATCATAACATCTGCGCTCTCTTGCGTTACTTTTCATGATTTAGACAAAGTTCATTTATTTATTTTGCATGATAAAAAGAAGCTTTTACAAATCTAAAAAATTACAAATGTAATCAACAGTGCAATACTTAAGCACTACATTAAAGCTAACAGGAAACAACCCGAACTAAGTAAAGGCATTTATTAATCAATTTAAAGAACACATAAAAGCAAATAAGAAAGATCTAAGAGTGACCATCTTATATAAATCTCTAAATGGGACGGAGTAATCGATATGTCTTACGGAACTCAAAACACATGGACTGGTTTTCTTTCATTATTAAGGGTTGGTTGAAAAATGCAAACAGTAGCGCAGATTGTGGACCAGTTTTTGCTTAGTTAAATACTTATGTAAAAAACTTATGTGATGTATATTAAGAGTATAAAATGTCAAGCTCGGTTGTTGTATGAATTCGTAATCAGATTAACAATAATATAGTAACTAAATATAAAATCTTATGTCATAATAATTCGTGTATTTTAAGGCACAAATAACTAGATGGCTGATATGAGAATTATAGTTTAAAGAATTTTATAAACAAAGTTATTGGCATTAAGACGATACGCGTAACTGCCTTCAAGTGTATTTTGTTCCGAACATTCTTAAAAAAAGCATCGCTTCTATCAACTTTTAAAATAATGTTTAAAAATTAAGTTACAAAATTGATACAATACGTATAAGTACGTTAAGAGTTATGACATATCAACAAGATTAAAGAAAAAACCATTGTGGAATATATGTACCACGTAAAGAATTTAAATTGTGCATTTGGTGGAAGCCCAATAATAAATAAAATAAATCGTAAATACAAATTTTCAAATGTACTGCTTTTCAGCCTAAAGCACCAGTATCCTCAATTCATAGCACAAATACAGAAGCCTTGTTCCCATTAAGACTGAGTTTTAAGTACTTAATTTTAAATAAACGTGACATTAGTGTACATATACATAAACAAAGTATATTTTTAACAATACACTTAAAGGCAAAGGTATAGTGAAAATACCGATTTAAAAGTTTTAATTAAAGGATTAATTTACTTAATTGACAAAATAATATTTTATAATTTATCTTTTTTTTAATTTTGTAATTGTTCAGGGCATCGTTTTAGAAAAATTCATTTTCCTTTCATATGCACATTATTATTTGAGTTTAATTTTAGTTATGATTGGTCTGTTACTTTTCGTATAATTTTTAATCGTGTTATAACATTTTATAGTTACATAATATTTTTATGTAATATATAGTAATATACGCAGGAAATAGTTGTCTTTGATAAATTCGTTCTGTTTATTGTTAAACACGTATTATAAAATTAGAGTAGAGCAACACGGGCCACCGGCGGACCGGAGGGGAGTAAGCATAGCGGTTTTTCTGATACAGGAATGTCTGTTATTTTTTGCGGGAGGAAATCCGCGCGCACGGAAGCAATCGGCTGTCGCCACTACGAAACTCACAAATAACAATTAACTAGCAATTTCGCACACACATAGATACATTATAACTGTATCGCACGGTGACAGAGACACAGATATAAACTCGGATCAGTCTCTCGACCGATCTTAATATTAAATCAGGGCGAGCGGCTGATGTTAGTCAGCAAATCCGAAACAACACGACCGTTATTATTATTTTTTTTAAATTTTGAAAAGAAGTAAAATATCAATAAATTGATTATAAATTACTTACATATGAAATGTAACGCTATCTTTTTGTGAATTTGACGTGGTAGCATATCTTTTTGCAGCAAAAACTGAAAAATTCGGCGTTTTTGTAGGACATCGATTCAGGCGCGCAACTAGATTTAGTCCGGTGAGCAGTGCGCAGACACGAACGCTCGCGTATGGTTTACTTCCCTCCGGTCCGCCGGTGGCTCGCAATGCTCTATGTAAAATTGGTTTTCTAGTCTGACATATTTTCTATATTATAAAGTTAAAATTTCGTAGTAAGAAGCTAAAGAATACTAATTCTCTTGTTCAGTAATTATGTAAACAATGTAATGTACAAAATTTAAAAATTAAAATAACACAGAAGGGTTCTTTCATATAATAACCTATTAAGTAATCATGACATGATCTAGTTTCCTTTAAACTGTTGCAATATTTATTTTATATTTAAAGAGTAAGTTGTCTGACATTAGGGTGTTACCACACCAATCGATCGAACGTCGATCGATGTCGTTGTTAGCTCCGTAATATCTTCAACGAGTACTTCATACAATTGAATACAAGCTAGGTAAGTAGCGCGCGGGGCGCAGGTGGAGCGGGCGGGTTCTCGAATAATCAAGTAGCTCAATCGACGTCGACTAAACCATTCAATCATAAATCGGCGATCGATCGATTGGTGTGGTAGCACCCTTATTGACATATATTTACATTACCTTAAAGTTAATATTTCGGTATACGAATCTTTAAGTGTTTCTAGTAACATTAAGAAAAGTTACAATAAAGGTAGAATAGAATAAAAACAAATTTGTAAAATATTTTACGGAAACAGCAGATAAGTGTTTATTATCTTAAATGGCTTCGGCTTTTAGTATTGTACTCATTGGTGGAGTGCCATTTATGGAGATCAATGATTAATGATTGTTTTTTTTTGTCATTCCTTGGAAATGAATTATTTTTAGAAACGTTTGAACAATCCATTGGACGTTGAGATACTGTGTAATTTTTGTACTTTACAAACTATCATCGACAGGAATATCTTTTATAAACAAATATTCTATGTGATATGAAAACTTATTAATTTTACTTACGTATAAATATATTTATGTATATTATATAGTATATAAACACAATTTAATTTCGCAACACACTCGTATTATAACTCTATAGTATTTAACATTAATATAAAAAAATTTAAATACGGACGTTATAGTTACTTATACAGATCTAAATGGTCCGAAAGAGTTAGTACATGAAATTGGTTCCGGACGTGTGTTCCTTACTTCGAAAACGGTCGAGAATCCGCGCTACGTTTGCATAGTCACATGACGTGACGTGTTACGTCGACGCGTGACGTATTACGTGAACGCGGGACGTGGGACGGCTCGTCGAATACGTCGACGTTGGAACGTGCTAACAGTTTACATGTGTATAGTGGCGGCGGTGTAGCGCGCCTCGCCACGTCTCCATCCCCACTGGGAAGGTCGGTACTGCAACAAAATCATTTTAAACGAATTAACAACATCCGCTATGAAAGTGGCATATTGTATTAAATATTCCACTGATCACAGGTCCATAATTAGAGATGGGCCGAATATTCGTTTCATATTCAGTCGAATATTCGGCTAAATCACCGAACATTCCTTAGTGGTACTCAAAGTGTCCACCTTATTGAAATGTACGAATTGTAATGTCTTTGATAATTTTACTATTGAAAGTTTGTATTATTTATGGGCTAAATCAACCTGTAAGGCGTTATGTTTTTGAGGCAATGTAGATTTATTTCCAATTATTACAAATAGAAGCTTGATAAAATGTTTTAGGAACCAAAGAGAGAAATATAACATTACATTAGTACATTTCACTCTACTTTGGTCGTCAGTTTCTCTAAAATAAATAAATAAAATTAGTCCAAATATATGGGATATGTTCCGAAATACAATCCAGTTCACTAGCCAATGCAAATGACTTCATAAATCGACGTCATATTGGTGACTCGAATATAGTGAAATACGGCGTAAATTAATGACGTCATTCGCATTCGCCAGTGTACTGGGTTGTATTTCGGAATATACCCAGTATGTGAGGGTAAAATGGTCATCCCGTTAATATGTTCACTTTTTTATAAAAAATTACAATTAATAAAATTACAATTCCTCAAAAACTACAGCTTTGGCATTTTTTACAGCATCGGTAGCTTTGTGATACAATAGATTTTCATCAGTCAATCAAATAATAAAAGGTCAAAAGGACGCTACTTTATCGAAACCATTTCGACAGATGACATTATATTAAATATTTTAGTAGATATCAGTATATGGTATAGTGTAGTTAGTTCTTTTTAGTGAATTTTTGAAGTGTTCCTAATTATTGCCAAAGTATGATTGTTTTTTTTCTTTATATTTGTTCTAGTATACGACTGTGCTTTTGTCTTTGTCCTCCTCTTAGTTTTAGTTCTATAAAACGGCAAAGTTTAAGGTGACTATATTACCCTCACGTACCTTAGTCGATCTCCTGCCACACAATTTTATGATATAGTTATCAATTTTTACTAAGAATAAAATGAAATATCTCAAAAGATAGATGTTCGAATTTGCTCAGTACTAGATGATGAGCGAGTGACAGGGTCCAGCGCTCATCCCGCGCGGTCTACGGTAACGAGTTCCGACATTAATTGATTAGGTAATGGGTGAGGTGATCCTGCCGAATAATGTTCGGCCGAATATTCGTATTCGGTGAAGTTCATATTCGGTCCATTTCTATTCATAATCGCATGATTGGGAAGATAGGAGCATCAAATCAATTTATCGTACTACGTTACCTGGCCAACGTAGACCAGACCTGAGTTCTTTGGACTACTAATTATGGGAATACTTTAAAGGGCGTATAGAGGAAATTAACCGTGGACATTCAAAAGTCAAAGTCTAATATTTTTATTTAATGTTGGCTATTACAAAGCTCTTTGAAAGTCAATTGTTACGCCATCGCTTCTACAAGTCCATAACGCATTAAAGTGTATTACAGCAGGAATATTAATAAATATTTCAGAATTTATACTAACGTGTATTGAGAAACTTTCGCTTGAAATTAGAGGAGTAACCGGGTCCTACTGGAAATTTCTCTACTCTCAACATTGTAATACATACATACATAAACACTCACGCCTGTCACCCAGAGGGGTAGGCAGAGACTACAGACTTCCATTTGGCACGATCCTGACACACCTCTCTCGCCTCCTTCACATACATGCTTGTCGATTAAGGGTACTCCTAATTTGGCCCGTTTTCAATAAATCGCCAATTTGGTCGATACATTTTCGCCTAGGACGTCCCTTTCCGACTCTGCCATTCACTTCTGCAACATACATTTTCTTTGTCACTCTTTCCTCATTCATTCTTTCCACATGACCAAACCACCGAAGCATTCCTTTCTTAATCCTGGTCACAACATCATCTTGCAAACCACACTCTTCTCTTATTACACAATTCTTACCCTGTCGTTCAGATTCAGCCCTAACATACTCCTTAACGACCGCATTTCTACTGCGTTGATTCTACTCTCGTGCTTCTTCTGCCACACCCAACTTTCACTACCATACGTTAAAGTAGGGACCAACACAGCATTGTGAATTGCCATACGTGCCTTTTTTGACACATTTTAACTCATCACAATAGAGTGTAGGGCCCCATTTACTCTATTTCCCGCATTCACTCGTCGTTCTATATCCTTATCGTATCTCCCATCCCTGCTAAATACGCAGCCCAAATATACAAACTCATCTACTTGCTCGATCAACTCCCCTTCTATTCTTATTTCACAAATCGTTTTACTTTCTTCTCTTTCAAAAACCATAACCTACGTCGTACTTGCGTTCACTTTCATACCCCTTTCTTTTAATGATCTGTTCATTAATGTAACCATCATTTGCTACTCGGCCGCCGACGACGCAAGAATAACTTGATCATCGGCGTACAAAAGGCATTTGACGGTTAACTCACCCATTCTTAATCCGCATTCTTCAACTTTCAAATTTTCTCAACATTGTATAATGAGTTTTTTGAGGTTCATGTTTCTTTCTGAAATATTAGTTATTTTTTATATTTATTTGATTTAAATGAATAAATCAGGCTACGAATATTCTTAAAAGTACAAGAAGTACAAGAGCTATTTAAAATTTAAAGTTTCTAACTCATCGGGGAGTGAGTTAATTTAAAATCAATTACAAAATTCCACCCAGAACGACAGAAAAACAAGAAAGTGACTGAAAAAATCTGGTAAAAGAGTTAAACATGTGCGTGAAATTACAGAGCTACTATCATTAAAGCATTGTTTTGTGTACATAGAATGCAAACTTCACTTTTCTGTTACGGTGACGTTGTGTAACAAGTAAATTCAGTTAAATTCCAACATTTGATATTTGGTGAGCGAAAAATCGAGCTTTTACTGTAGCATATATAACATCCATAACATTTGACCGCGTCTTCATTAAGTCAAAGTGACTGTTTGTCTGTGTGTCTGTCGTTACAGAAGAATCGTACAACACAAATTTTGAGCACTTCCCGATGAGCTAAAGGTTTGAAATTTCGAACATAGCTCAGAATCGGATATCAATGTTTATTTTAGTACAAAATAAAAAAAAATCACTCCTTACTACCTATGACCATTGTGACGTTTGTAGATATGTATGGTGGTAGTAGTGGCAGCTGGTTGGTGTTGCGATTAAAAGAAATAAATTACCTTGATGATGAATTGTCCGCTACGCGTGTGCGGGTTCTTGAAGGCGTAGAGCAGCCAGGCGGCAAGGCAGCAGACGAGGGCCACCAGCACGAAGGCGGCTACCGCCCCGCCGATGGGCGAGCGCGATACCCCCGCACCAGCCACACCCGCCGCCCCTACTGCCGCCCCCGCCGCCGCGCTCCGCCCTACCGTGGCCTTCGCCTCCGTCTCCGTATGCACTGCACGATACTTCACTACTTAGTATTTGTATTTGCAAAATGGCGAAACTAAACAGTTTTCGGCCAGGACACGTTTGCTAACTTCAGTAGCGTTGACACAATCCGCCAATTTGCTTATTTAATTTGTTTGTTTTGAAGTAGAGTTCATAAGTTGTTTTGTGCAATATTAGTTTTAAGTAATATAATGACACGAATAAACATATTATACATGTTATTAAAAATTCATGATTGGTAAGTTTTTAATAAGAATACTTTAAAACATACATATATTAAAATTAGGTTAAGTTCTCCGGTTGAAGATAACTTAGTGTCCTAGAGGAAAATAGCTACTTACGATTTGACAGCGCTTACCGCTTACGATCGCCATTTTGCTTACAAGCGCTTGCTAGCGCTTTTTTTTTGCCAAACGCACCCAATGAGTACTCGTATTTGATACCGCAATTAATAAACTACATACACGCGCAAACACTAACGCCTGCCACCTGTCGCAGGCACAGACTAGACTTCCATTTGGCACGATCCTGACATACATCACCATAACATTTTGTACGTGGTAGAGTCATGCTGCAGCTATATTACTGGTATAGTTGTAGTACAAATGAGTCGACTCGACTGGGAAAGGACCACGCTCTCACAGAATACCAGCGTCAAATAGCAGCTTAACGCTGCTGTGTTTCGTATGGTGAGTGTAGAGAACCGGAGACCCTTTTTACTGCAAACGAGCAAACGGGGCATTCAATCTTAGTCCTCACGGGCGATAACGTATCTGTATTTTGATTCGTAATCGAGGATAGATGTAGATGTCTATGGGCCACAGCAAACACTTACCATCAGGTGGACTGTGTGCTCGTTTGCCAGGCTTATAATATAAAAAAATACTTCTCTCGCTTCCTTTACACCCTTAAACTTAAGTATACACGCCCGTGGGTCAAGAGTACTCTTAATTTAGCCCATGATCAGTATATCGTCAATTTTATACAATCGCATAATTTGAATTTATGAAGTAGCAAAATCGTATCATCATATATTTTAAATTTAAAAATTCAAATTCGTAGTCAGAGTAGTTTGAAATTATACATGTAATGCACTAAAAAGACCGAAACAAGATTGAGTAAAAAAAAAAAACTAAACTACTTCGGTTTAACAGACTATACTATATAAACTGAAAGAAAATTAATGGGTTCCGCCTGCCACTAATTATCGAGGAATTACACCAAAAGATGCCTTCGATAGGGCATTAATTTTACATAAAAAGAATTTGATATGCCATATAAAACACTCTAACGCAACGTGGTAAAAATAAAGAAAATGTTAGAAAGTAATTCGTAAGTGACGAGATCTAAATTTGACTTCAAATTTGAATTTGACTTAGGAGAGCGCTGGCCATTAAAAATAGAAAAATATTTATTTTAGAGAAATAATGTGCATTAGAAAAATACCTTAAGAAGGTAACTGATATTTATTACGGATTCACACTCCCAATGAAACATAAAAGTTTGCACTATTTACACAGATACATCTGAAAAATAAAATGTTAAGGAACTTGGCGAGTACATCACTCACCTTCGATTTGCCGACGATAAAGTCCTTATGGCAGAATCGCTGGAGGACTTAAGCACTATGCTCAATGACCTCAATAGTGCCTCCCAACGGATAGGTCTTAAGATGAACATGGACAAAACAAAGATCATGTTTAATGTCCATGTCTCACCTATGCCGGTAGTTGTTGGGAGCACTATGCTCGAAGTTGTTGACGAGTACGTTTACCTGGGACAAATAGTCCGACTAGGTAAGTCCAACTTCGACCGAGAGGTCAATCGACGGATTCAACTCGGCTGGGCAGCGTTCGGGAAATTACGACACACCTTCACGTCAGGTATACCTCAATCTCTGAAAACTAAAGTATACAACCAGTGCGTGTTGCCAGTGATGACTTACGGATCAGAGACGTGGTCCTTCACTGCTGGGCGTATGAGGACGCTCAAGGTCGCTCAGCGAGCTATGGAGAGGGCTATGCTCGGAGTTTCTCTGCGTGATGAAATGAGGATATCCGCAGTAAAACCAGAGTGACCGACATAGCCCAACGGATTAGTAAGCTGAAGTGGCAATGGGCCGGCCATATCGCTCGAAGAACTGATAACCGATGGGGAAGAAAGGTTCTCGAGTGGCAGCCTCGTACCGGTAGGCGTAGTGTAGGGCGACCCCCCACTAGATGGAGTGACAACCTGGTAAGACATGCAGGAAGTCGATGGATGCAGGTGGCTCAGGACCGTGCTTTGTGGCGTTGGGGAGGCCTATGTTCAGTGGGCTGGGGCTGTGATGATGATGATGATGATGAAGGAACTCAAAATAAACAACAACCCTGTAAGTCGCTAAGCAATAAAACAAAGAAGTCAAAGATATTAGAAGGAAAATGTAAAGGGATAATGGAAAACGAAAAGGAAGAAAGGCGTCCATGAGAGAAAGAACAGGAATAATGACGTAGAAGACCAAGGTGATGAAGATGATACAATTTGTTTAGAATACACTTAACTTTATAGTTTGAGTATTCCTGGAGAGCAATGGATTCAGTGTACTACGCGCCAGTTGAGTTTTAAGTATTTAGTTAAAAAATGTTAAAATGTATGACTGTTTATTATGATAAAAAATTCATTATGTATTAATATATATATATATATATATATATATATATATATATATATATATATATATATATAATGTTGTGTTATGTTATTTAAATTATTAATTTTTCATTTTAAAGATGAATAGTTTACCTCATCATAAGTGATGGTTTTGTTTTTTTTCAAACGATAATAGTTTACACTAAAAACAATGAAAATACAAGCGTCTTCACCGAAAATTGGTCAACTATGCTCGATCTCCCCTACTATTTAGTCATGATCATCATTATTACAGCCCTTCAAGTCCACTGCTGAACATAGGCCTCCCCCAAGGTATGCCACAAAGCACGGTCCTGAGCCACCTGCATCCATCGACTTCCTGCATGTCCTACCAGGTCATCACTCCATCTAGTGGGGGGTTGCACTACACTTCGCCTACCGGTTGTCGGTTCTTCGAGCTGTATGGCCGGCCTATTGCCACTTCAGCTTACTACTCCGTTGTGCTATATCGGTCACTCTGGTTCTACCGCGGATATCCTCATTTCTAAGTTTATCACGCAGAGAAACTCCGAGCATAGCCCTCTCCATACTATTCAGTACGCTTTCATAACTTCACAGAGTATGGAGGTGATGGCGATTGGTAGATAATTACAGAAATCGGCACGACTACCCTTCTAGCTCCCGATCGCAAAGCTAAGGCTCAAAAAGTTCGTGCGAAGTAGAGAGCTTTTAATTCTGCTGCCATCTTTATGCAGAAACCTGATGGAACACTGGCTCACTCCGCGACTGAAAAAGCAAATTTATTTGCATCAATTCTCATCTAGGTGCTCTAAGCAACCGCCAACCCTGCCTCGGTGTGATTCTTTGACGCCGAAAGTCAATATCCATATGAAAGATGTACGTAGAGCTTTGCAAAACCTAGATGTGAACATAGCCAATGGACTGATGGTATTACCGCAAGGGTACTTAAGCATTGTGCGCCTGAGTTGACTTCTGTTCTGACGTGCCTGTACCGCCTCTCACTTAAAAATCGAACGATGCCAAAATTTGGGAAACTTTTGCACAACGTAAGAAGAGTGGGTAGTCGCGCCGGTCGTTGTAATTATCGATCAATCGCCATCACCTCCATACTCTGTAAAGTTATGCAAAAGGTATATGACCATCAATATGGCTTCCGCCGCGCCGGGAACAATCCACTTGGGATCTTCTTGTGTATGTCTTTCATTTTCGGGGCGAGGTCATTGAGAAGAATATTACCATAATAAACTCTTAATGAAGTAGGTCCAAATTTTTCGTAATTTAATTCATTTCATAATGTTTCACTCGATATCTCGAAGGCTTTTGACAGGGTTTGGCACGCAAGTCTACTGAGTAAGCTTCCTGCCTACGGCATCCCCACCGAATTTTCTGGGTATCTGATTTTTTGAGTGAACGATCTATTAGGATAGTCATAGATGGCTGCTCTTTTGACCTAATGCATATTAATGCTGGAGTTCCCCAGGGGTCTGTTTTCTCTGGGACTCTTTTCCTGCTGAACATCAATGACCTACTACAGGGTGTTGTTTGGTATGCAGATGACAGCATAGTCACAGAGAGATTCATGCTCAGTGCAAAAGGCGGAGGGGTAGTATTACGTTAATTTAGAGAAGCCATGGTGAAGCGGATAAAAGAGACTTTAGGCCTAATCGCCAAATGGGGTTACGACAATTTAGTCAAAACGCAGGCATGTCTGTTCTCTGCAAAACGGAGTCCATCTCTAACTCCTACTCCTCTGTAGAGGTTACTGATCACCATGAGCTTTTCGGCATGCAGTTCAGTGTTAACCTCAACTTTGGCGCTAAAATGGCGTCGAAAGCATTCTTATTCTTCGTTATTCTAAACAGAGTGAACCGATTCTTCATGCCTGGTCAGCTTCTAACTTTATAAAAAACTCAAGACCGAACATGCATGGCGTATTGTAGTTACCTTTGGGATGGCTCAGCAAATTATAAAATTGCGGTACTTGACCCAGTGGAACGCAGAGCCAAGAGCCTTATCGGCGACAAAAAGCTGGTGGAAACTAAGCTTCACAGCTTAGCTCATCGCCGCCAACTTTTTGTACATAATGCAATATTTTGTACAGTGGACTTATAGGACTGTAATGAATAAATGGATTAATTAATTTAAAAATATACTAATAAGACATTTATTTAACTACAAGTAATTGTTACATTAACGGCTGTGTTTGGCAGAAAAAAGCGCTAGGAAGCGCTTATAAGCAAAATGGCGAAACTGTACAGTTTTCGGCCAGGACACGTTTGCTAACTTTAGTAGCGCTGACACAATCCGCCATTTTGCTTATTTATTTTGTTTGTTTTGAAGTAGAGTTTATAAGTTGTTTTGTGCAATTAGTTTCAAGTAATATAATGACATGAATATTAAAAATTCATGATTAGTAAGTTTTTAATATGAATACTTTACAAACATATTATATTTAAATTAGGTTAGGTTCCCCGGTTGAAGTTAACTTAGTGTCCTAGAGGAAAATAGCTATTTACCATTTGACAGCGCTTACCACTTACGATCGCCATTTTGCTTACAAGCGCTTCCTAGCGCTTTTTTCTGTCAAAAACAGCCATTATCTAACGTTTTCATACATTTTCTACAGAATACAAACCTACCTCAGAAGTTTCCCTCACAAAGTAACCCTAATCAATTAATATGTATGTCAACTGTTTACGATTTTATATTATACTAGTAAGTTGCTCGTCTAAAACACGCTAGCTCTGACTGAGTATGTAACTAGCAAGTCACAGGAGCCTGTAATAGGGTAGTCAAGACCAATCGTTAAGTAATTATTAAATCATATTATAATTCAAATTTGCTAGTATTGTAATGTAGTAGTAGTGTATTCAAACTTTGTTGTTCTTTAATGTGAATCAAATAAAAAAATTAGAATTTTAAAAATAAAAATAATATATAAAGAATGTTCCGAATTTTGACGAAGTTGCTTGTAAATGCTAGTTATAAAATAATACTCACCAGTGCTGACGACGACGATAGAATGGTTTTGACCATCGGTTGTGTACGCGGTGTTGCCGTTTTCAGAAGGCACGTTGACAGGCGGGTGGGCGGGAGCGGGACATGAAGACGCGTTCACAATGGACGTTTTCTCACAATCTGTAGGCAAGTTATTACAATTTAGGGTATGTTTCAAAATAGAACCCAATGTACTGTCCAATGCAAATGACGTCATGAATCGACGCTATACTGGTGATTCGTTCCAAAACATAGGACAGTATATGACGTCATACATTTGCGCCATATTGGAAAAGTATTGGCGTTTATTTTGTCATTTTGTGCTTCAAAAATCATTATATCCTCCTAATAGAGTACCAACAATTATTCTATAATTTTTTTGTATATGAATATATAAAAACAAATTCTGGCATGTTTCATTCAACGCACACACAATTAAAAATTGTTTTATTATGGCCGGATATCCGACGCAATATGGCAGCGGCACGCCATTACAATATAGTGTCAATTGATGACGTTATTTGTATTCTGCAGAATACTGAAAACGTTTCGGAACATACCCTTAATACACACTACCATTTTACTTCTACATCGATCACCGAATTGTTTTATAATTTATACGTATACAATATGTAACGTAATTAAGGCACACCCTCAGACACCCCAATTAGTGTATTATGTTATAATCATAATATATACACTGAATTTTTAGTTAAACATTTTTATGCACTGATTATTTATCAAATTAGTTATACTAATTCCGGAAGAATTTTGTCGTCACAGTACAAATCCAGGAACGCAAAGACTTTAACGTCCTTGAAATAAAGTTCATTTTTCTTTATTTGTATTGAATGATAGAATTAGTAATAATACAAATAAAACTGCACTCTTAAAAGTTGCCTTAAGTTACGGTCCATTTCAGTTTGTTTTGACTGTACAGATTTAGTATGACTGTAATTTACGTAGTTTTAATTAGTTTTGGGATAAAAAAGTACCTATATTAAAAATGATAGGAATCGATTCAGTAAACGATTCTGAACGTACTACTTTCTCAAAGTGCGTTAATTATGTTACGTGTTGTATATGCTTATAAGAAAACATTGAGGCAAATATATAGTTTGTTCTATCAACTATTCAACAGTGCATTATCTACGTCGTAGATATTATTTACATATTATTTTTTAAAGAAAAGGTGTAAAATACACGTTAAAAAACAACACAATGAATGATAAATTAGCTTAGAGTTAATATAGCAGCCATTGACGAGCTAGGAATACATTTAAATCGCTTAAGGAAAGTAATTTTTTAAGTGATTTAAGTGTATAAATAAGAGATGAGAGAGAGAGAGAGAGAGAGAGAGAGAGAGAGAGGAGATGTAAGGTGCTAAATTCATCTAATAAACTGGTGAAACTCGAAACTGCAATTTTGATTATTATTTGGGAAGAAATTTTGGAGAGATTTAATTCATTCAACAAAAAATACAGAATCCTGGTTTCGATATTTGTGAAGGCAATAAGTTAATTTTACATCATTAAAAGAGTTAGTGATCAACATAAGGCGACTATTAGATCAGAAGCTAAATGAATACGAAAAGAAAGCTAGAAAAACTAAGTACTAGTGTGGGAACAGACCACAGTTACACAAATAAGAGATGCATTACATCAAATTTTTTTATATAAGTCTACAGATGGTCCTAGTACAAGGCACAGAAAAATTTAAAAGAGACACGATAAACTTTGCGTTGGATAAGCTGATTATGGATTTCAATAAAAGAAGCCAAGTCATATGAGACATGTAGCAAAAAAATTTAATTTTTGATGGATTTGCAAGACAAAAATACGGAACACAGATCTGGAGAGTGTACTTATCCAGGTGACGTAGACGAATATTTAGTGAATAAGTGCATTCAGTTAAAATATTATTTACTACAGTATAAATCTCATGCGATTAAAATTTTTATGCTAATTTATGAAAAGAAACTTTTTGATGTTTTCCCTAATTAGTATACCATCTTGAAGATTTTCTCAACATTACCAATCATTAGCTGTAAAGCGGAGCGCTCTTTCTCCAGGACGTCGTACACAGACAACAAATATAGGACAACGATGTCAAACTATCGACTAAATCATTTATCTTACTTTCTGTAAATTGCGATTTAACAAATGACTTACAGTGTAATGAGCAAATAAAGAATTGTGCAGCACAAATATTCAGGAAGGTTAATTTATATAACGTAACCACACAATACACATAGCCTGTCAATTTATTTAATTTAGCAATAATGGGTGCATTTGGCAGAAAAAAGCGCTAGCAAGCGCTTGTAAGCAAAATGGCGATCGTAAGCGGTAAGTGCTGTCAAATCGTAAGTAGCTATTTTCGTCCAGGACACGATGTTAGTTTTAACCGGGGAACCTAACCTAATTTAAATATATGTTTGTGAAGTATTCATATTAAAAACTTACCAATCATGAATTTTTAATAACATGTATATGTCTATTCATGTCATTATATTACTTAAAACTAATATTGCACAAAACAACTAATAATTTTTACTTCAAAACAAACAAATTAAATAAGCAAAATGGCGGATTGTGTCAGCGCTACTGAAGTAGCAATCGTGTCCTGGCCGAAAACTATTTAAGCGCTTGTAAGCGCTTGCTAGCGCTTTTTTCTGCCAAACGCACCCATTGTCATACGGTTGCTGTTTGTATACAACAGTTTGTAACAAACATTAAGTCATAATATATAAATAAAATAATGTTTTGTTCTATTTTTTCCTATATCATATACCTAAATTACTATAGATTTTTTTTAATAAGATAGCAATTACTTGAGAAATTTAAGTAGGCCCCTAAGTAGTATTAGCCCAGAGCTCCATAAATTCACGATTTGCCCCTGCCTATAGACAGATACAGAGCGGGGGGAACTCCTGTTTGGTTAAGATTACCTTTATTCAATGTATTTACATTTCAGTGTAGTACATTTTAAATATAAGCAACCATTACAGAATTGCGACAGACAAAGCTTTTAACGAACATCAACATCATAACATACAAAATTTCTACATATTTTGGTAAAAATTTCACGATAGGTTAATAATAAGTGAACACATCATTAATTTGTTTATCTGTCGTAAAGCACCTTATTTTTTTTAAAAATAAATCATTATTTTCTTAATTAATTATGTTTTAAAATAAATTAATTATTTGTAAAACTTATTTTTATATCTAATGATTTTTCATCGTTTTGTAAATTCTGAACCTAACATATTTTTTACTCCGATTACTAACTCAAAGCAGTTGAAGACGATTCATATTGTATTATACAATGTATTAATAAACAGACTTACTTCTAACGACCCAGTCTTGTTTGTTTCTATCAGTGCCACTGGAACACTTCTGGATTTGCTCGCACCATGAGCACTGAAAATTTTTTACATAATTAAATAACGTACCTAAGCGTTTTATTAATGGAAAATTTTCTGTTGCGTGTCGTAATGACATAGGAGTAAATATTTGCATAGATGGATTTGTATAGGGCAGTAAATCCTAGTAAATAATTTGCTTAAAAATCGTATATTATTTAGTCAAGGGTAATTAAGCATTGTTTACTCGTCCGATCGTCTGGGTATATACCTCGTTGGTCTAGTGGTTGTAGTAGTGCGACTGCTGATCATGAGGTCCTGGGTTCAAATCCCCCGGTCGGGCCAAAAAATTAATTATTGAGTTTATCCGTCAAGAAATTCTCAGTAGCTGCCCGGAGTCAGGAAGTTGGCGGTGTCTCACCCCCGTGCCTCAGAAAGCACGTAAAGCCGTTGGTCCTACGCCTGATCTCTCTCCGGTCGTGTCGGTTTACCGTCACGTGAGAGTGATGGAATAGAGAGTGCACCTGTGCTTGCGCATACACTTGTGCACTATAATCCTGTCCTGCGCCGATGGCTAGCCTCCGTTGAGGCAGGCCGCCGTGACCGAAACTCGGTCTGCAGGACATTATTATTATTATTATATCTTCAGATATCACCTTCTCTATTTCTGTCACCAAATAGCAGTGCACGTAGCAAATACCAGACCAACTAGCACTGTAGCGTGACGGTCTGAAGCGAGTCAGTATAATTATAGGTGTGAGCTGATGTGATGCATTCCAGCTTAGTCTTAAGAGGTTAAAACGCTTTTGTCGGTTTATTTTTAGTTGGTTTCAGTTGTCTATGGAATGCAGTAGCCAGTTATTATCAAACGAATTGTAAGTTCGTATGTCGTTTGTTTAAAACTACATTTCATGAAAAATGAAGATGTGACGGCAGTTTATGGTTTTAAATGTGTAGTGTTGTCATGTTATGTTAAACTGAATGAATTTAAAATTGTCTACGTATTAAGCTTATTAACTTATGTGATTACTGTACAACGTAACCTACAATAAAGATATTATTGAAATAATATGATGTAAGGAATGTCCATTACCCCAAATCCCGTGGGTGTCGTAAGAGGCGATAGAGGGAAAACTGAACCCTGAACTGAACTTAGTCATATTGCAGCTAAGTTACTGTTGCAGCACTAATGGGCCAGCTTGACCAGGGTAGGACCATGCTCTTAAAGAATATCAGCGTAAAATAGCAGCTTAATGCTGCCGTATTTTGTATGGTGAGTGTAGATAATTGGAGACTCCTTTTACTGAAAACGAGGCATTGCATCTTAGATGTGAATAGGCACCTGTATTTCGATTCTTTATTAAGGATATGTCTTGGCCCACAGCATCCACATACCATCAGGTGCAATGTATACATGTTTGTCACATCATCAGGATCATTCTGATAATAGCAGAACAGAATAACATAATGAACTGCGTTTTCCAACCAAGCGTGGCAACTAAGACTAATATCCTCCATTGAGGCAATTTATAGGAAAGGCCTATGTTCAGCTGTGGTTCACTTTTGACACACTGCAAAGGCAGAGGTTGTTAGAAAAATAGAAGAAAAAGAAACTAGAGTGGAATACAAAAATTAATAAATTGCTGTTGCACGTACGGGCCGGCTCAAACCGGGGTGGTACCACGACCTCACAGAATACCGGCGTGAAGTGGAAGCTCTGCTTTCGCGTTTCGTCTGGTGAGTGCAGGTGGCCGGAGGCCCAAATCCCCCCCCCCCCCATTCAACATGGTAGCGGAATTAAATGATGATAGACTACCCCAGGAGGGTACCAGCACCGCAGGAGAATCCCTCGCTGAGCATCCACGATCATGTTTCTCCACTTCTGAGCGTGGGTGCTCAGGCTGCCCCGCGTATTCTGGGTTGGGGGGGGGGCGCGCAAAATTCCGCTCAAGACTACAACTGCTCGGGGGAAACGGAGCAACAAGACCAAGGCGACCCCTGCCACGCTGTCCGTGAATTTCTGCAATGTCAGGGGACCTCACTTTAACCTAAACGCCGTCCACTACCATCTCGAGACGGCGAGGCCGGCTCCGCTCTTTCTGACCGAGACGCAGGTGTCCTCTCCGGCTGATGTCTCGCATCTCTCCTACCCGGGGTACAAACTGGAACACTCCTTTGTGCCTCGGGCTGGAGTTTGCGTTTACGTTAGAGAGGACATCTGTTCTCGACGCCTCGGCAGACTTGAAGGTTCGGACCTGTCCATCCTTTGGCTACGCGTAGACAGAGACTATCATCCGCGCGTCTACGGGTGCCTCTATAGGTCCCATAGCGGTAATGCCGAAACAGACCGACTCTTCGACCACGTCCAAATGACTACAGATTTGTTGCTACAGCAGATCCCCTCCGCAGAGATCGTGATCCTCGGCGACTTTAACGCCCATCACGCCGAATGGCTTGGTTCACGTTTAACCGATCACGCGGGGAGATCCGTTCATGATTTTGCCTTGGTATATGGTCTGACACAACTGGTTACTTCGCCTACGCGGATTCCAGATGTGGAGGATCATGCACCTTCCCTGTTGGACCTTCTGCTGACCTCTCACCCGGACAGATATCAGATTTCCGTCGACGCCCCTTTAGGCTCCTCGGACCATTGTCTGGTCCGGAGTGTGGTGCCACTCACGCTGAAATCGCGGTTGCATTCTGCAGGCTGCCGCCGTGTTTGGCACTATAGGTCAGCCGATTGGGATGGGATGCGGTCTTTCTTTGCATCCTACCCTTGGGAGCGGGTTTGCTTCTCGCCGGACGATCCCAACGTTGTTGCGGATTCTGTCACTGATGTGGTACTTCAGGGTATGGAATTTTTTATTCCTTCCTCTGTGGTGCCCATTGGAGGCAAGTCACAGCCATGGTTTGGTCGCTCCTGTAAAATAGCATCATGCTATAAGCAGGAGTGCTACCGAGCCTGGGCTGACGCATCAGCGTCCCGGGATGTAAACACCAGCGCTCTAAAAAAGAAGTATAATTCCGCCTCTAGGTCCTACAAAAGAGTCATTGCCAAGGCAAAGTCAGAGCACATAGGCAGAATTGGTGAGAAACTAGTTCGCCTTCCTTCTGGAACCCGTGCATTCTTGTCTCTCGCCAAGGCTGTCCAGGGGAATTTCTGTCAGCCATCTTTTACATCTCTTCACAGGGAGGACGACTCACTGGCCCATACCGCAAAGGAGAAAACCGATCTTCTAGGCTCTTTCTTTGCGTCCAACTCGACTCTCGATGACGGGGGGAGTAGCCGCCGGTGTGAGTGCTCCATGCCGGAAGTGCAGTTCACACAGCGCTCGGTTCGCAAAGCACTCCTCTCCCTGGACATCCACAAGTCGAGTGGGCCTGACGGAATCCCCCCATTGTACTGAGGATGTGTGCTCCAGAGTTGGCACCGGTTTTAACGCGTCTTTTCCGGTACTCCTCCTTAGGCGTAGTCCCAAAATCATGGAAGACGGCTTACGTCCACCCGATCCCTAAAAAAGGCGACCGCTCTGACCCGTCCAACTACCGGCCAATCGCCATCACCTCCTTGTTCTCCAAAACAATGGAGTCCATTGTAAACTGCCAGCTCATGAGGTACCTTGAAGATCACCAGCTGATTAGTGACCGCCAATACGGTTTTCGCCGTGGTCGGTCAGCTGGTGATCTTCTGGTCTACCTAACTCACAGATGGGCGGAGGCAGTAGAGTTCAAGGGGGAGGCATTGGCCGTTAGTTTGGACATTGCGAAGGCCTTCGATCGGGTTTGGCACAAAGCGCTTTTTTCGAAGCTCCCTTCCTATGGGCTTCCCGAGAAATTGTGCGATTGGATCACCAGCTTTCTTGCAAATCAGGGCATCAAGGTCGTTGTAGACGGTGCAAGCTCCGATTGCAAGCCTATTAATGCTGGTGTTCCACAAGGCTGCGTGCTATCGCCAACGCTGTTTCTTCTGCATATCAATGATATGTTGCACACCCGTAACATTCATTGCTATGCAGATGACAGCACTGGTGATGCTCTTTACACCTGCCGAGCCAATATTTCTCGGGAAAACGTCTCCGAGTGCCGGGACAAACTTGTGTCTGAAGTCGAGTCTTTGTTGAACAGAGTCTCGGTTTGGGGGCGACTAAATCTAGTCCAGTTTAACCCCCAGAAGACACAAGTTTGCGCGTTAACCGCTAAAAAGAACTCCTTTGTCGTATCTCCTCAGTTTCAAGGCACTCCCCTTGTTGCCTCAGCCAGTATCGGAATCCTCGGCGTCGACATATCGAGTGACGTGCAGTTTCGTGGTCACTTGGATGAGAAGGCCAAATTGGCCTCTAAGAAGCTTGGCGTGCTCAGCAGAGCGGGACAGAATTTCAGACCGGCACACCGCCTGCAATTTTACAAGGCGCAGGTTCGGCCGCACATGGAATACTGTTCCCATCTCTGGGCTCGGGCTCCCCAGTACCAGCTCCTTCCACTTGACCGCATCCAGCGCAGAGCGGCTCGAATCGTCGACGACCGAGTGTTTTCCGATCGGCTCGATTCACTGGCACTGCGAAGAGATATTGCATCTCTTTGCATTTTCTTTCGCATATCCCCATTCCCATTGGAAATTCGCATTCCCAGCCGCCAAATTTCGTGAACGCACTACGCGGCAAACGTCGCGATACCATCCACACCATCTGGATGCTTGTCGGTCCACCACTGTACGTTTCAAGAGGAGTTTGCTTCCGCGTACAACCTCTCTGTGGAATAGTTACCACCAGCGATTTTTCCGGACCGATACGACCTGGGGACCTTCAAGAAAAGAGCGTACTCCTTTCTAAAGGGCCGGCAACACACCTGCAATTCCCCTGGTGTTGCGGTTGATCATGGGCAGCGGTAGTCACTTAACATCAGGTGAGCCGCATGCTCGTTTGCCCCCTCTTCTTTTAAAAAAAAAATTGTAAATGTCGGAACGCGAGTTTAATGAATTGTAATTGAAGCGTGTGCAGGTTAAATATATACTTAATAAATACAATTAACAACCAATGTGATTTGATTGATAGTTACCTGGAATGACGTTTCGTGATTGGCACAACTCTCACATGTATTGTACTGAATGCATGTGGGTAGCGCTGTTAGTCTCAGTATTGTGTTATTCGTGATCTCGTGGTTCTTGAATGACACACGATGATACTCGTAGATTTTCTGATGTCTCACATCTAAACATAAAATTAAAGTTGTTTTATAGTTTTGTGATGTTATAGGAAGTTTATTAAGTGTCTTGTTTATGTGCATATACATTTTATATATATACAGGGTTTGTAATAACCGGTCAAATTTGCAGAGAAGGTTCAGTGTATGGGTACACCACATATTTTTATTTAGTAAACGCTGCAACCTATTTTTAGCCGCGCGTCGCGTGTATTTAAATTTACCTTTTTTATTGCAAACTGACAATCGGCAGTACGTCAACAACCGTCCTTCTAAACACCAACTACTCAAGGAAAGATTTGCCACTCTAACTTTATAATTATTTTACTTTTAATTAATCTTTTAACTTTGGTGACCTTTTGACGTGCTCATCAACTACAACTTCACTTTTTAAAAGTGCGTGGCCTTACAAACCATACATTCAGAACAAGTAATATAGGCAAATGGTGAAGAAAAATTAATTGAAATGAATCTCAAACATTCAGTCCTTTTTATCTACTAAATTCTAACGTGGTATAGCATTATTTCAACTGATTTTACTGCGCACGCACACATTCGTAAGAGCCGATCGGTAGGCCAAAACGTTTTTGCGCATACAGATTGGGATCATTTCAAATAAAAGTAGAAGCCTTATTTACCCGTATTTTCAAAAACCGCAATAAAGGTCTGTCATTATTTATATATTTTAACTTAAGTTTAAAATATGGCTACTCGTTGAAAAATAACCCTGTATAGTAATTATTACCTAAAGACCAAAATTGACAAAGTATTAAATGTTCGATAACAATTTATTAAATTTACACAAAACAAAAAAGTTTTATACAAAATAGTAAGAAACATTATGTAAATAAACAAAGTCCCAGAAAATATGCAGAAACCATCCCACAAAAATATTATTTTTATTAAACATAAGTTGTATACTATTAAAGAATCATGATCCATAAAACCTTTGGTTAAACAATGAGGCTAAATATTATATATTTGATTATTAACTTGTCTTATTATTATTTAAAAAAAAAACATCAGCTGTAATTCTACGAGGGCGGCACTGAGAATTTCGGGAATCAAGGAAAAGACACAACATTACTATTTAAAAATGTATTTATTGCTTTTCGAAGTATTCTCCGCGAAATTTGACACATTTTTTCATACGATGGAACCAATCCTTGAAGCAACCATTCCATTCGGAAGTTGGGGTCTCCAACTTCCGAATGGAATGGTTGTTTTGTAGGCGTCCACAGCTTCTTCAGGTGATGAAAATCTCTGTCCACGCAATTTATTCTTTATTTTAGGGAAAGTATAGAAATCATTAGGGCTTAGGTCGGGGCTGTACGGCGGATGGTCTAATAATTCTATGTTTTCTTGCTCTAAAAACTCTTTTTTTCTGTGTGCGGTGTGAGAACAACTCGCATTGTCGTGACGGAGGATGATGCGGCGGTTGCAGTTCTCTTTACGGAGTTCAGAAACTACCTGTGGCAAACAAATTCTAGCATACCATTCTGCATTAACCGTTATTTGTCCCTCAAGAGGAATAGTCGTAACATGGCCGGTTTTGGAGACAAACGTGGCCACCATTTTTTTTTTGCAACACTCCGTGAACGAACAATTTTTGTTGGCTTTAACTTATTTTCGAACACCCAAACTCGTGACTGGTTTTTGTTTCGGGTTCGTAAGCGTATATCCAGGATTCGTCACCTGATACGATGTTGTATACAGCATTTGAGGATCCTGCGTGGAATCTTTCGAGAGTTCTGACGCACCAAGTAACGCGAGCCGCTTTTTTGCTCTTCACAGAGCGAATGCGGTATCCATCGGGAAAACAACTTTTTTACACCTAATTGTTCATGCAAGATTTGTATTTGACTCATGCCAATGTCTAAAGTTGCATCAACGTTTTCTTGGGTGACTGCAGTTTTTGGACGACCTTGGTGGGGATCACCACTGAGCTTGACACGTCCACGTTGAAATTCAGCAAACCAGCGATAAATTGTGGTTTTGGATGGGGTTTCATCACCAAATGCATGAGACAGTAGCCTAATGGCAGGGCGCGGACCGCGAACTCAAAAAGGTCGTCGGTTCGAATCCGACATTCGACTACTGGCGTGAACCACTCATAACACAAGCAATTTAAGCTTACCACGAGTGGTTAAGGGGAATATTAGTAATATTTATAGCATTGTTAATATTCTTTTAAAAAATATGACAGGAACAGTGGAAATATTCCATTCCCGATACTTTTAGTGCAGCCTGTGTAGCTGGTTCGTCTCAGGGTAGAGTTTTTTTCTAAACCAATTACTTTCAACGAGTATATGACATACTTTAAATTTTTATTGAATAAAATCTTTTTGATTTTATAAATAATGACGAATAAAGTTAGGGGTAATATTTTTAACGCTTTTTTAGTAAGTAGGAAATAAATAAATAAAGTTCTTAGAAAAGAAGAATTTGATATCTTTATTCTAATTACGACTTAATAACATATTTAATAGCAGGCAGTTTGTGTTACATTTAATTAATGGTTCCATACATTTACCAAAGATCGTTTAATTGAGTACGTTCTATGAATTTATAGAAAACTTGCTTTTTTCTTTTATATCGGCCCATAAAAGTGTACTGTGGGACAAGGGCCTCTCTGCTGTAAGGGATGACTTGCTTATCGTCTCGATTAGTAGGCGGTTGGCGGTCTGAATGTAATACGCCCGACTAGTTATACCTACCGCCATCTATACGAAGTCATAAGATTTTTATTGCATTTCCAAAAATCCTCTCTAACAAAACCCACGGGACAAAATTGATGGGTCACCACGCCACCAGAACACGGCATAGAATTTTTTTTGCATTTAATTTTTATCTATTAAATATAACTAACAGTTTCAGTGTTTAAAAGGCGAGTTAAAGAGCACTATGTATTTTATTACATATATGTATATAGAAAAGAGCCTATTCCGTTTTAAAAGGCCGACCACGCAACTGCAATTCCACTGGTGTTGCAGTTGTTAATGGGCGGCGGTAATCACTTACAATCAGGTGAGCCGTATTGGTCGTTCGCCGTCTCTCCTATAAAAAAAGTATAGTATTTAGGTATATGTATGTCAGTATGTATGGATGTATGTATACGTTTTTATTATTTTTATTTTATATTAAGCATATTAATATTATAAAATTTATTATGAAAGTGCACACTTATTCCGCTTCTCTTTGAATCTGTCCAGTATCAGGCCTGCTGGAAGAAATTTCAATATGAAATAAGCAGTACCTTTGTACGAAATATCTTTTTTTCATTGTGACATTACTTCCATGCATAAATTGTTAAATAAATAAATACATTTATATTTGTTTGCTCGTATTTTATGCACTGCCATACCGTTCTTCAGATTGCGGTAAAAAAATTTAACGTATTGCTTGAACTTCCACGAACGTTATAGGCATAGTTGGAACCGGTAGGTGGCGCTGTTAATGAATCCAGGTATCACCCCTGCGAAGCCGGAGCAGATAGCTAGTAATAAATAAAATTCTAGTGTGCATATGTTCGTAACAATTCTTCTCCTACTAAACGGTTTGATCGTTTTTGATGAAATTTTTATGGTGTACTTATGGAGTCACATGGATAGTTCTTAGTGATAGTTGGACACGGTATCACCCGAGCGAAGACGGGGCGGATTGCTCGTATCTTATAAAATTGACGTTCCCTTAACATTTCGAACAATATAAGTTTGCCATATAAACATACGAATAACACTTAAACAAAATAAACTTACGAAAAATGTATTTGTCCGTTAAGTACGCGTCGCTGATACCCACTTTTACGGGATGTTCTTTATCATTAATCTGCTGAATGGGTATGGGAATGTCCTTATATGTAAACACTATATCACCATTTTGGTAAAGTGTGGCCGCGAACGTAAACTTTTTATTTGGATCTTCCTGTAGTGTAACATTTTCCCAGATAACAGTGAATTTGCTGCCTGTAACAACAAAAAAAACGAACTTGAACTGGTGCGCAAATATATCGTATTTTACACACGATTTTGACGCTCGAGAATTGATACTTCCTGAAATAGTTTACGCTCAGAACAAAATATATGCAAGTGATCATAGACTTGACTGCGTATGAACCGGGTCACTGAACAAACAAAATAGCACCTACTCATTGGTGCTAAATGTTTATGGAGCACCAACGCGACCATCAATACGTGCCGTGTGTCCGTGCAGTGTTTCCAGTTTTAGATATTTTGCACAATTTTAGGACCATCATTACAGCCCTTCACAAGTTCACTGCTGAACATTGGCCTCCCCCAAGGTATGCCACAAAGCACGGTCTTGAGCCCCCTGCATCCATCGACTTCCTGCATGTCTTACCAGGTCATCACTCCATTTAGTGGGGGGTCGCCCTACAGTTCCCCTACCGGTACGAGGCTGCCACTCGAGAACCTTTTCCCCCCAACGGTTGTCGGTTCTTCGAGCTATATGGCCGGCCCATTGCCACTTCAGCTTACTAATCCGTTGGGCTATGTCGGTCACTCTGGTTCTACTGCGGATATCCTCATTTCTAAGTTTATCACGCGGAGAAACTCCGAGCATAGCCCTCTCCATAGCGAGCTGAGCGACTTTGAGCGTCCTCATACGGCCAGCATTAAGGACCACGTCTCAGTTCCATATGTCATCACTGAAGATGTGTCGTAATTTCCTGAACGCTGCCCAGCCGAGTTGAATCCGTCGATTGACCTGTCGGTCGAAGTTGGCCTTACCTAGTCGGACTATTTGTCCCAGGTAAACGTACTCGTCAACAACTTCGAGCATAGTGCTCCCAACAACTACCGGCATAGGTGTGACATCTTAACACCTATACGTTCGGAGGTACTATTGAGATCATTGAGCATAGTGCTTAAGTCCTCCAGCGATTCTGCCATAAGGACTATATCGTCGGCAATTCGAAGGTAAGTGATGTACTCGCCATTGATGTTAATACCGTATACTTTCCAGTCCAGTAGCTTGAATACGTCTACCAATGCAGCATAGAGGAGTTTCGGGGGAAATAACGTCACCCTGTCTTGCCCTCTCTGCAGTTGGATAGGTTTCGTACTCTGGTTCTGTACTCGGATAGCCATCGTAGCCCTACTGTACAAACACTTCAGTACTTCGATATACCGACAGTCAACTTGGCACCGCTGAAGAGCCTGTAGCACCGCCCAAATTTCGACGGAATCAAAGGCTTTCTCATAGTCCACGCCAGACAAAGTGGCAGATTGTACTCTTCGAACTTCTGTACAATTTGCCGAAGGGTATGTATGTGATCTATGGTACTAAAGCCTTTTCGGAAACCGGCTTGTTCGGGAGGCTGGAAGTCGTCGAGTCTGCGTGCGAGACGATTCGTACTGACTCTCGAAAACAGCACGTAGACGCGGCTAGGATAAATCTATTAATATAGGTAGGGCTTTAGGCTTTTCTTCAAGTTAACAGGATTTTGGATAAATTTAAAATAAATAAAAAGATTTAAATAGAACTTCATGTATTTTTGTTAAAGATTTATCGAAGGGGATAGGGAAAAAAGAATTAGAAAAGTGTAGATTGAAAAAGTTATTATATAATAAATAATATAAATGTATTTTTGTAAGATTTATCGAAGGGGATAGATAGGGTCAAAAGAATTAGAAAAGTGTAGAATGAAAAGTTATTATATAATAAATAATATAACAAATAGAATAGAAAATGGTATATGTTTACTTAGTTACACATTCGTTTTTCATATGAGACTAAGTGTTATTATAATTTGAAAATGAGAACGTCTTCTTCATCACAAAACTCAAGATTTTTAATCGTGAAATGATATTCAAATCTTGCAATGATGTTGTTCTTTAAAATATTGAAAATTAGGTGCAATAAATAAGGCTATTTTGATTTCTTTTCGATAATTTAGAGAGTATTTCTACAGGTTCTAGGGTAAAACCAAAATCATAAGTGAAAACACTGGTTCCGTGGTAGTTCATGAGTATTTAATTATGGATGGATGGAGGATGGCGCGGGTTTATCTATGCTTAAACCGTAAACAATTTTTGTTCGCACGGCCATATCTTGTCATTCATATCAATGCAAGTGATAAATTAAATTCTTAATCTAATGGATTTTCAAATTACTTTATATTAATTGAGATAAAAAAATTGTTAATCACCAGTAAACTTGACGTTCGAGTTTTTGTTTTTTTTAAGCGAATAGCATATATTTTTCGATAGTATGACAGTCATGTTAATGAATTTGGTTCTTTATCAGCTACATTTTTATTTTATTCATTTATTTCCCGATGATATTTTTACTTTAAATGTTATAAACATTTAAAGTAAAAATATCAACAACATTCGACAACAAACACTGACTCTACCCGGCGTTTCACAGACAGCACAAAGTTTCTCCAGCCGGAAAAACAGCGGAGTTTTCCAATTAAAAACAGCAAATGCCAACCTTGTAATTAAAAGAAAAAGAACCCCTTACCGTGTTACGTATCATAAAATCTAAATCTGCTCGCTCTTTTTAGTGTGTGAAAGTGACCAGATCTGCCAAAAATACAATGGCGGCGCGTGCAGTTTTAAATTAGACGATCTCTACAATTTTATAGTGATTCTAACGTTGATATATATGTAAGATTGGCTGACTGCCTCGTTGTTCTAGTGGTTGTAGTAGAGCGACTGCTGATCATGAGGCCCTGGGTTCGAATCCCGGGTCGGGCAAAAACATCAATTATTGAGTTTTTCTGTCAAGAAATTCTCAGTAGCTGCCCGGAGTCAGGATGTTGGCGGTGTCTCACCCCCGTGCCTGGGAAAGTACGTAAAGCCGTTGGTCCTGCGCTTGATCTCTCTCCGGTCGTGTCGGTTTACCGTCCTATCGGATTATGAGAGTGAGGGACACTTGGGCATTATAATCCTGTCCTGCGCCGACGGCTACCCTCCATTGAGGCAGGCTGCCGTGACCGAAATTCGGTATGGAGGACATTATAAGATTGGCAAAGATGCATCAATTGAATGGGTAATGCTTTAATTGAGAGAAAAACAAAATATGAAAAAAATTACGTTAACTTATTTCATAAAAAACGGCAATTTTATAGGTAAAGACTTAATATGATTATAACAAAAATGAAGGCCAATTTTCACATATATGTAAACTTAAAATAAATAAAGTATGTAAGAAGAGATATATGAGTCTAGAGCAAACAAAAAGAAAAGAAGTTATTAGAAAGTGAATGTGGAAAGTGAAAATATGGAGAACGCTGGAATGATGAAATAAATCAATATCTACGTTATGAATATGTGCTGTAGCATTAAAGAATCTGCATGATTGAATAATACAACAGTTTTGCCTGTAATTACTTTTCACGAATGGTACAGATTAAAGTGTAGGTTTCCGCAATCCAGATGATAAGGTACTTAGGTAGGTAAATATAAAACCTAGGTCGAGAGATCGAACTCACCTATTCGCGTCATAAGTGTGATTTATGGAAAATAAACTCACCGTCGTCGTACTGTTTGACCACGCTATCGTTGGTAAGTGTGGTGTCGAAGTTCGCCATCAGCGGCGCTATGTATTGCGTGGCCGCGAGCCAGTTGTGCACCGGTTCACCCGTGTAAATAAACCCACCCGTTGCCACCGTTATGTTTCGAATCCTGTGCCCGTAGAACGGGAAATCGAAGGTCAATTTCATAGTCTGCAAAGTGAATAGAATTTTAAAAGAGAAATATTATTGATAATGTATAATATCTTCATAACTTATGATTTATAAATATATATTATGTATATCTAAATATCTGTTTATTACATGTTTTTATTTTATTGCTAGTACTTATGAGGTGTTTAATATACTGACGGAAGTTAATAATTCAGAATATCTAGTTCTTACAAAACGACCTGTGAATCTACGAAATATAGCTTATAAATCCAACATGTATGTACTTCCGAAAACCAAAAATTTCTATGGAGAAAGAAAGTCCGCCCATCTTGTACCTACTAACAGTTTGGATTTACCGTAAGTTTCTTGTAATTCTATTGGCGATTCATTAAGTTAATGAATTGCCTATAGAATTACAAGAAACTTACGGTAAATCTAAACTGTTTAAAAGTAAACTTAAATCATATTTGTTAAATTAACCATACTTATTGTAGTAGGTACTTCTGTTAGAATAATGTGATTTATTATTAATACATCTTTGTTTATATAAGACGACGACTCTCTAGCGTAGATAAACCCCTAGAGGTTTTATGCTAGTATTGTAATGGATAATGTAACAAAATTATGGATAATAATAAAATAAAAAAATAAAAAAACTAGCGACCCACCCAGACTTCTGTGATATTTGGATCCCAACAACAGCGCCATCTACAGGTTCCAATTGTGAATCTAAGCCATCCAGGGGCCTACTCAAACGCACACATAAAATTTCATCAAAGTCGTACGAGCCGTTTTCGAGTTTTAGCGTGACTGACGGACAGCAATTGATTTTTATATAACACTAGCTTGCCAGGCAGACGTTGTTCTGCCCTTTTCGACGACCCTTTCTCATGTCCTATTAAAAATTCGCAAAAAAACGTGGGTCACTAATGGGCAAAAAACCTATCCTGTCTCTCAAGTTGGACCAAACTGCACACGGTGTGCAAATTTGATTAAAATCGGTTAAGTAGTTTAGGAGTCCATTGCGGACAACGTGACACGTAATTCATATATATTAAGATAAAGATGGTAAGTGTCGTCCTGGGAAATGAGTAGGGTCTACTATCTTGTAAAAATAGGATCTTAAAGGATTATTTTTATTGGGTCCTGGTATAGGTTGTGAAAATTATTTATGGGTATTTATAGAGATGGGCCGACATTGGCTGACTAGCCGATTGGTCGAAAAGTCGTTTGAAAAAAGGCCAAGCCGATCAATGTTTTCGGCGGAGTTCGGGTGGCGCTATCTCCGTGGCGCTTCGTTAATAGCTGAGTTGAGAGGTTGAGCTTTAGTTGTAACAGTTCAAGATATCCCGAAATGTCGCGTCTTGCTAAAGTGATCCTCTATGGCCCAACTAGTTCTGGGTATAGGGAGATTCATCTCCGAAGTTGGTAATATAAATATAATATACGAAACTAAAAGAAATAGATTGCTGCCAGAAAGGGCAGTCTCTGGTGTTTTTACACTACAATTTGCGTGTATATTAATAATTTTATATTATATAAATTATAAAATTATTAATATTTTATTAGGCAAACTGTGATACATAAATGTTAATTTAATTACATTTTAAATCTTGTTGTTTAATTTTTGATTGCTATTATTGTCAAATAACTCACAGAGTACATTTTAATTCCTTAAAGATACGCATAATTGCATTCATTATGATAATACTAATGTTGTTATTGTTTATTAGGAGTTATTGACACTCACGTTTAGAATTTATTTTTCGTTAATTAATAATTATGCCTTCTTGATTTAAATCAACTTAGACGAGAATACGAATGAAATAAAAATTGCATATTATTGGTCTTAAGACCATTAATTTAGCAAAGGAAAAGTTCCTAATCTTAGATAGTCTATAAAGGTAAGACTGATTCTAAAATAAAAATTATTAACAATGATGATGCCGATTAGTCGCCGACTACAAATATGGCCAGATAATACAGACTAAAGGGATTTATTAATAAAATACATAGAATTTGTGTGTACATATTGATCGTGATTACTTTTTAGGTTTAAACCAGGGCTTTAATGAAGAACTTTTAAAACAACAAACAATAAAAATGTGTTCAATTGACCGTGGGAATATTTTGCTTACGTACCTATACAATGGTTTCAGTGAGTAGTGATTGTAAGCAACATCGCATGTGATGTCAAACGAAACTTGATCAATGTGGGAGTGAAGTTTTCTCCTTATTTTATCTTTCCTTTGTAAGAGTAAAAGGGGCAAGTGCCTTCGATTGCTGATTAAGTATTTTGTTTTTATTTTATTGCTGGCATTTATGAGATGTTCGCTTATATATTTTTTATTTGAAAATATATAAGCGTACATGTCGAGGATAATAGGTTATATACTTATACAACTACGCTTTAGACGAGTTAAGTGACTGGGGGTGATCTCTATGGGATTATTATGAAAATAGATTTAAGATAGATAGATAATATGGGACGTCTCGTAAAATAGTGTTTCAATATTTGCGGTTTGTAGTTATATAAATATGTATCTTATTTATTATGCATAAATAATAACTTACTGTGGCGCGTCTGTGCGAGTGGCTGAGGACGTCGTGGACTTCTGCCTTGGGTCCGGTGATATTCGACCAGAACTCCTTGACATAGGACACGTTCCCGATGAATGATCTGTTGTAGAATATGTAGTTATCCTGTCGGCAAAAACATACCCAATAATTAGAATAAAACCCTAACTACTCTATCCTGCCGCTTTTATATCAACCGTATTTCATAATAGTGTTCATTATAGAAATTTGAATATTTTTTCATAATGTACATTTTTTTGTTTAATTTATAAATTGTACTGTTTAATCTCAGTTCGCCGAGTATGTCCATTCGACCGGTTTTAAACTTAAGTCAGGTTATAATATTATAATAGCTTTTAAATTAGAATAATTAATATCGTTATTATTAATATATATCTGAACCAGTTGCTTAAAAATGATAAAGTTGTTTCAAACCACATTCGATCCAGTTTCTACGAACGTAATTTTTTAAGTATAATACTTTAAATAACATTACGTTCACCTCTTTGAACTGTACCCTACACACTACGAATTTCTCCTGTATCCTAGAGGTGATTCCGATACCTTAATTCCACACGGACAAATATGCAAACTATCCGCTATTATTATTTTTAAGCTAAACTAATACTTGACGCTAGTAAGTTTCGAATCCGCGGTCCGCAGCGTCGCGAACAAACTCTTAAGCACTGCGCTATCGAGCCGTCAATGTAAAGGTGCTTTTTATTATAAGAGGTATTATTCGTGGTTTAAGAACTTTATTCTCATTAAGAATACAAAATTCACTTATCATGAGAATATAAAAATTTATAAGTTATAACAATATCTGGAGAAACACAGAAGTTGGGGGTACATTACAAATACATTTACGTGGTAGAGCCATGCTGCAGTTATATTAGTAGTATAGTTGTAGCACGAATGGGTCGGCTCGACCGGGGAAGGACCACGCTCTCACAGAATACCAGCGTGAAATAGTAGCTTAATGCTGCTGTATTTCGTATGGTGAGTGTAGAGAACCGGAGACCCTTTTTACTGGAAACGAGGCATTCCATTTCAGTCCTCACGGGTGACAACGCATCTGCATTTTGATTTTTAATGGAGGATAGATGTAGATGTCTATGGGCCGCAGCAACCACTTACCATCAGGTGGACTGTGTGCTCGTTTGTCACCCTATCCTATAAAAAAAACATACAGTTAAAAACAGTCACAGCGTCAGAGAGAGATACAATCACAGATATATAGTTGCACTACGCTCAACAATTTACAAGCGGCTTGAGTATTTAGTAATATTTTATTCTAATTCGAATTAGTAATGAATAATAAAAAAAACTTTATACCTTATTTGCACCTTTTTAAATATATTTAAAATACTTATTGATTATTATTAATATTTTAACTTAATAGTAAGACCGTTATTTTATAGATTTTATAATATGATATTTTAGTAATTTTTTTGAAGCTTACATTTGACTGCGATTCCTTAATGTCTTTAGGCAGTTTATTATATAATTGTGCTCCTTCAAACACTAGGTTTCTTTTACAATAACTAGTTCTTGGTGCACGTAAAATGAGATCATTTGCATTTCTTAGCTGGATTTTTTTGAATTTGTCTCTTTTTAGTGAAACTTAAATAAGTGTGGATATCTTTATTTATTATTTTACGAATCAAAATGCATGTATGATAAACGTACGATTGATTTATATTTAACAGCTTAGTATCATTATATATTTTGTGAGTTGGTGTCAGATAGTTATAGTTGAATAGAACCTTTATAACTTTATTTTGAGCTCTTTGTATTAGGTTCAAGTTATTCTTTGCAGCTGAGCCCCATATTTCTATCAGATAATCGATATGTGGTTTGACTAGAGAATTGTAAATAAGATAATTTATTTTACGCGGGAAACAACGAGCTATACTTCGAAGGGTACCCGTTATCGATGATAGTTTGCATTTAATTTTATCTATCTAAGGTTTCCATGTAAGTTTATCATCTAAAAATAAGCCAAGGTATTTTTCGCAATTTGACCGTTTGATAATTTGATTATTTATTATTAGAGGTTCAAAGAAAAAAAAATTCTTATTTTTTGCTTTGAATATGATATATATAGCTTTGGAGATGTTTATCGTTAGAAGATTGTACTGGAACCATTTATGTATTAAGTTAAGGTCATTTTGCGCGTCAGAGATAATAGTATTTATTGAGTGGCCGAAATATAATAGGCTTGTGTCGTCAGCATACAATGTTATGTCTCCTTTTAGGCCAATGCCTTTTAAGTTATTTATATAAATTAAGAATAATAACGGCCCTAGTATGGATCCTTGTGGCATGGCGTATGTCACAGTTTTAGATTTTTTTTATTTATTTACTTTGAAAATTGTCTATTCTGACTACTTGTTTGCGATTTGTTAAGTAAGATTTTAACATATTACAGGCTACACCTGTGATACCAATGTGTATAACTTTTTAAGTAGTAAATCATGACTAACGGTATCAAAAGCCTTTTTTTAGATCTATAAATATGCCTAATACAATATGTTTTTGATCAATATTAAGTTTTATTTTTGTAGTAAGGTCTATGGTTGCTGATAGAGTGTTTGATTTTCGCCTAAAGCCATACTGTTTGTCATATAAGAAATTGTTTGATTCTAAAAATGTTTGTAGACGGTTGTATAAGATTTTCTCAAATACCTTTGAGATCACAGGAAGAACTGATATAGGTCGATAGTTACTAGGGTTGGATCTATTTCCAGATTTAAATATTGGAGTGACTGGCCATTTTCAGACTACATGGGAAGATACCTGATTGCAAACATTTATTTATACATTTTGTAAGTGCTGGGGCAATTAGGTTTTTAACACACTGGACAGATTTAGTATTGATTCCATCTACACCTGACGCTGTGTTAAGACTTATGGTGTTGATGATTTTGAGGACTTCCTCTGTAGTGGTAGGGTTAAGTTGTGACAACATCTGGTCTTCTGATAGCACCGTGTGTTTATTAGCAGTGAAGATATTATCGTGATGAAAGGAAGACGGTATTTTACTTGCCAAGGATTCACCGATGGTTGAAAAGTACTGGTTAAAATGTTCACATATTTCTAAAGGATCTGTCAGCACGGTGGTTTCTGTCTGGAGTTTAGCTAGAGACGTAGTTTCCTTTATTTTGTTGTACGAAAGTTTATTTATTAAGGTCCATATTTTTGCTGATTTGTTTTCGCAATTCATTAATAATTTGTAGTAGTACTGATTTTTTGTTTTTTGTATATTGCGTACTAAATTTTGTTTTTCTTTTAAAAATTCCTCTTCTATTTCTTTGTATATATTGCTTTAATAATATAGTTTTGTATCCAGTCTTGTTTCAGCAGATTATTCTTTTTTGTTTTTGTAATTTTTATTTTTTTGTATAGAGGATATAAGATTTTGTTCGAAGACATTATAGTCTAAGTTCGAGTTATTATAACTATTTGCTTTTTCCACAGTTTTGTATAAATTTACATAGTCAATTGCTTGATACACAGTTGATTTTATACGTTCAGGCTTACAATTTATAACTTCCAAATATATTTGCTTATGATCAGACATATTGGATTTTATGACGGCTAAGTGAAAGAGATTTTGTTTCAGATTTGTGCAGACATGGTCTATTAATGTATTGGTTTTGCTTGTTTCACGTGTACTGTAGCGTTTATCTATTTTGTTTAAGAAATGGTAACCGCATTCTTTTACTGTTTCTTTATATTCAACGACCGATCCATCAGAGCTTAGGAGATCCACATTGAAATCTCCAAATACCAAGGCTCTTTTTTTCTGTTCTAACTGTGCTGAGAAGTATTCGAAGAAATTTTTGTTGTTAGTGCGTTCTGGTTTGTAGACGGCACCTATGTCTAGAGAAAATTTGTTTATATGAACCCAGAGAAAATGGTTTTCGCAATGTGAGCTTTCTTCTATTAAATTGTGCTTAAGTGAATTATGAGCAAAAATTGATACACCACCGCCTCTGCTATTATATCTGATATTAAAGTAGTGAGTGTCGTCCGTTAGTTGGAATCTTTTAGCCTCCTCCTCTGATTTTAGCCATGTTTCGGTCAGTATAATAATATGTATTTGATAAGGAAATGACTGTATAAAACACGCAAGTTCATCGAATTTACTAGGCCTGACAATACTACGGGCATTGGCATAAAGACACTTAAGTGAATTTTTATTAGTTATTATATCAGTATATTTACAACTAGTTTGGTACGATACTCTGTTGGACTTTACATTCTCAATGATTTTGTTTATGAATGATTCAAAACTTTAATCATCTATCTATCTACATATACTAAAATGAAATTACTGTTCTCAGGCCACATACTATTATAAACATTTTAGTTGCCGTAATTCTTTATCGATATAGAAACCTAAACATTTATTTTTTATTTTTAGTCTGTCCGTCTATCCTTTTGAACACAATAGGCACTTACTACCGGATGCATTTGGATGACACTTGGCATAGTTGTATCTTTTACCCCGGAATAACAGTTAGGATATATTCTAAAAATAGCGACGCCCATGAAATATAAAACGATCAATCGCGTCAGTTCAAAATTCATTTCCTGCCTTTTACCAAATGTAATATTGCAAAAAACATACCGACGGAAGAAACGGCTCCATGATAAGAGTGGATCGATTTGAATTCAAAATTATTGTAGACTGTGAATTAGTTCGCTCACATGCATTTGTACTTTGTATTAATACGCACACTATCGCAAGTATAAATTATATTTGTAATACTTACGTATGTCAAGTTCGTCAGGTTATGTTCTGCTTTGATCATTTCCGGGGTTACCTTAAACACGTCCGGTACATCTAAAACAAGGAGTAAAATTAAAAATTTTGTACAATCGACATCAATGTAAATTAAATGAGAACATCATCAATGTAATCGAAGTAAATCCTCAGTATTAAGGATAACTCAAAAACTACTGGTCAGATCTTGATAAAATGTATGTGGGGAGCACATGAGAAGCACCAGCAGTCAAATAAAAAACATCATCAAAATCTATTCACATAGAAAAAAATTCTGAGGCAACATACAAAAACATACAGACGAATTGAGAACCTCCTTCCTTTTTTGAAGTCGTTTGAAAAAACATTGAAAATTGAAAAATCTATATTGCAACATATTTAACTATTTGTCACTTTAAAAGGTAAGGCTCCTATAAAAGCTTAACCTGAGTAAATGGCGCAGGTTCCTTCCTATATTTAATGAGCTTTTGTGAATAAAATAGATAAAACAAAAAAAATACATGGATGCATGTTTCTAAACTGCATGCAAACGAGCGTGCGCGCGCTCTTGTGTGTATGTGAGTGAATGCGTTGGTTGGGAGAAGAATTTATGAGTCTGAGGTTTTTGATATGAGTTCGATGTGAATGTGATTGCCTGAACTAACAATGTTTATTTATTTAATTAAACAATTAGAACACAATAAAAATATACAATTACATTTACATTTTAGAGTTTAATAGATATTCAGTAGCTTCGTAGTCATAAGTTTTAAGTCAATTAGTTATTTAACTTTAGATTTGACGGTTGTTGTAACTTTTATTAATATATAAAATTCATTAAATTTATTGTACAGTAATGGCGCAAGGTAATGAAATTGTCTTTTGACAAAAACACTGTGTGTTGTAGGGACTAAGTATATGTCCACTTTGTTTCTTCCATAATACTTTTTAGCGTCTAATTGATGTGCGCAGAGTATGAATAAGAGAGAATGGGATCGTCTAATCGTTTTCATATACCAGCGTTGTGTGATGTCTATGCGGTGAAAAAAGTAAAAAAAATAGAGTAACATTATAAGTGCGACAGTTCGTTTCAGCGCCTACAACTTGGCGTGGTATAACCAAAACTTTTAAGATTGCACGCCAGTTGATGCTCTTTGAGCAGGCCTATCCAGCATTGGATTTAGATGGGCAAGTTAATTCGTAAACCACAGACATTAATAAACGTTGATTCCTCAAAAAACTGTATTTTTTTTCAAATAATATCATAACAAGAAAAGTTCGACTTTGCTGATGCTTTTTAACAATATACGTATACTTTTATTATATGTCCAGATTACAAAATTATGTTTGAAAACGTGTGTAGGGGCGGTGTATGAGAAATCCTCTACCCTATACACATGACATCACACTGAAAGGGAACTGATACTTGAAATGTGCGTTTGCCAACACGCCCGCCTGCAACATGTGTGATAAACACAGCAAATATCCTTCCTATGAGGCAACCTAGGGGGAGGACTATATTAAGACGACACATTGAAAATAAACGATTAAAATGGCTCCGCTTATTCCACCCCGCGCCCCGCTGGCGACAATCGTCACTCGGTTCTTAAAATTTCAAACTCGCGTCAAATGCTCAATCGGAGGTCAACGTGCGATATACAGAAAGGAACAAGCAAGCGTCGGAGTCGCGACACACTATTATTTTTAATGTTTTTAATATTTTGCATCATTTATTGTCTTGTTGTATAATAAAATGTAACTGTATATGTCATTGTTGTTGTCGTCATGTTAGTTTATCAAAAGAGAAATCAACAAAGCTTATATTTTTTTATTTATTGAAATAATAACTAAGTCATAATTTTTAAATTGTATAACAGAATTTGTAACTACGTTTTTAATGATATTATATTCCTTTTCTTTTTTAGGACCATTATGCAGATTTTCTTTATTTTTCTTTTTTGTTACATTATTTGGATCCCGAATTTGTTTATTCCGAGTAAGTCGCGGTTCTACCAATTCCGGTACAAAGCAGTGAAAATAAAATGAACGTAGTTTTTCTCCATTTTATCCTTCCAAAATTGGTCATCCTTTACTATTGTTTCCACTTTGATTTAATAACGTCTATACCACACTGCCAATAAGCATTTAGATATTTCGGAAATATGCACCTGTCTTTGAACTTGCATGTACCAATCGGAATTTTCGTTCACCTGGATCACACCACTGTTTTATTTACCCGCCAGAAATGCATTTTTTCTTGTATTATGACTTCGTCAATACCGACCTTGTATGCAATTAATGTACATGTGATTTCAAACAGGGTGTTACTTCCTATAAAACTGTCAGGCGTTGCTCCTAAACATGGATGATTTATGTCTATGAATAAACGACAAGGGTCTATCTTTACGTCTAGTAAATTTGATATTTTTTACTGTACTAGCGCAACTGTTGGTTTTAATTCTTGTGACAATCTTCCCAAAATTGGAGGTTACAATAAAAGAAAAAAAACTCGTTAATGTCACTAAGAATAATATAGAGCACAGTCACAGCGTCTCCATCGGATTACTGTCCTAATAGTGCGTATTGAGTTGTATAACGACCAACAGAATGTGACCTCCACCGACGTACAAAGCTTAGGTTGAAGCAGGCAAGCTTATAGTGGATATAACAAGAGTGTGGAGTGCCGATTCCTTATCTAGATATACGGCCAGTATATGGATGTTGTCAATATACCTATATAGGTAGCATTTAGTCAAATGTCATGTTTTATTCCCGCAAAAAATAACTAAAATGCAGCTATAAGCAACCACGCGTAGAAAACCTAATGATTCAAGTGTCATTTAACGTGGTGGAGTCATGCTGCAGTTATATTATGTATTAGTAGTTGTAGCACGAATGGAACTGCTCGTCCGGGGAAGGACCACGCTCTCACAGAATACTAGCGTAAAATAGTAGCGTAACGCTGCTGTTTCGTATGGTGAGTGTAGAGAACCGGAGACCCTTCATACTGGAAACGAGGCATTCCATCTTAGTCCTCACGGGTGACAACACATCTTTTTTTGTAGGATAGTGTGACAAACGAGCACATAGTCCACCTGATGGTAAGTGGTTGCTGCGGCTCATAGACATCTACATCTATCTTCGATTAAAATCAAAATGCATATGCGTTGTCACCATTGAGGACTAAGATGGAGTGCCTCGTTTCCAGTAAAAAAGGGTCTCCGGTTCTCTACACTCACCATACGAAATACAGCAGCATTAAGTTACTATTTCACGCTGGTATTCTGTGAGAGCGTGGTCCTTCCTCGGTCGAGCCGACTCATTCGTGCTACAACTATACTACTAATATAACTGCAGCATGGCTCTACCACGTAAAAGTCTGCATTTTGATCTGCATTTTGATTCGTAATCGAGGATAGATGTAGATGTCTATGGGCCACAGCAACCACTTACCATCAGGTGGACTGTGTGCTCGTTTGTCACCCTATCCTATAAAAAAAAATCATACCCCGATACGTATAATGCAGAGGCTTATTTTATTTATATACGATTTTGTTCTCTATTCCCTTGTAGGTAAGTACTAAGTAATTCGAATTATCTAAATAGCTAAGTTGCTTGAATCATACTGAATCTAGGTAGACAGGTAATGTTCTTTATAATTAACTGCAGACATACGTGACACTAAAATGCTATTAAAATATTTACAATGATATTTTTTACCTTGACTTGTTCGTCTCCGTCATTCTAAGAATATTTTTTTTTCAAATTGCTCTTTCCTTTTTCTCCTATATATTTTTTTCTTAGTATTTCCCATTACCACAAACAAATTATTTAAGTACCTACTTATACTAATAATAATTTCCTATTATAATAGTAAACCTATTCTACAACTATAGCCATTCATAATAATAAAGATATATCTATAAGAATAGAGAGTACAAGCGAACGACTTGCGTAGGTCCTACGTTGTGGCGGCCTCTCGCCGGACTGGCCCGCGTGAGTATATAATTTCTATAAAACTTTAAAACGCCGTCATAAGGTCTAAAATTGCGTAGCGTCCGCGACGATTAACACGCTTAGAAATTGTCAGAATCTTAAAATATTTTTAAAAAATTAATGAATTAAGTAATCATAATAATGCGCAACTAAATTATAAATATTGACGTTACGAATACATTTGAGTGATTCCCAAGCATATAGATTAAGTAATTTTGTTGTAATTTCAACTATAGTGATTTTTTAGAGGTGTTTTCGCAAATAATTATGATCGAGTCAAAATTATACAATCGTGTTTTTGAGCAAGCAAATTCAAGATAAAGACATGAATTTACTTATATCAAAATTTCAGTTTCGTTAGTCGTGTCATAGACCCATACTATTTGATGCAAGGAGGTGCATTTTATCAAGGTGTCGTCTTAAACAATGAGCTTTTGATAAACTGTAATAAATTAATTAATCTAAAATGAGGTGCGTTCAAAATATCAGAATAGGGTACAAACTTTTTAGGATTTAAAAAGTAAATATCGGCTAGTAAAGCTGGAATGAATGCGGTTTGTTGTAGCGAGCTGTTATAGAGTACCTATCTGTTATTGAAAAACCACTAAAGTTTGTACTTTGACTTGTGTTAAACCAAGATAACGGGAAACGTAAGGAGTAAATCCGTAATCTACTGTTGTACGTTGGTGCAATAGATTTGAAGGTGGAAGAACATCCACCAAATATGACTTAGGCTCGGGACTCCCAAAGACAAAGAAATGGTAAAAAAGTTATTAAAAGTGTGCAAACAATGTGCTCCGTACAGGAATTCTTAGGTGCTTAGGATGAAGACTCGAGGCTTCTTTAGAGAAGGAACTTAAGGCTTAGAAAAAATATATTCGTTGTGTATTAAGCGAAAAGGCAACTATGTCGACAATTAAAATAACATTTAATAAAAGTTACCTGTATTAATTAGCACTTTTTTAAGAACATGTGACCATTATAAACAGGCACAACTTGTTCATTTATTTTGATTGATTGGACATTGTTAAACGTGTTAGCTCACTTTAAAAATGAAGGAGGTCAACAAATCGACTTAATGTTTT